GAGAAGACACTGGGAGAGAAAAGAAACACATTTTTATTGTGATCAGCTCCCAGCATCACACAGAAAAGTAGAACTTCCATATTCCCAGGGCCGAGATGAAACAATTATCAAGATTTTTCTCGGTCCTGCTTCCAGCATTTTTCCTTTGTCTTTTGTTTTGTTGCTTAAATATTTTTAAAGCAAATTCTGGGTATCATGTCATATATGTTCCAATATGCATCCCTAAAATATTTGGACACTTTTATATAAAACTATGATGCCATTATTAATACTACTCTTAATTTACAAAGATGGTTAAAATTCAGGTGGTTTTTTTTTTAAGATTTTATTTATTTATTTGACAGAGAGATAGAGAGCACAAGTAGGCAGAGTGGCACGCAGAGAGAGAGGGAGAAGCAGGATCCCTGCTGAGCAGGGAGCCTCATGCGGGGCTCGATCCCAGGACCCTGGGATCATGACCTGAGCCGAAGGCAGATGCTTAACCGACTGAGCCACCCAGGCGCCCCAAAATTCAGGTTTTTAAATTAAGATATAATTGACATTAATTTCAGGTGTATAACATAATGATTCAATATTTGTATATTTTGCAAAGTGATCACCACAGTAAGTCCAGTTAACATCTGTCACCATACATAGCTTCAAGTTTATTTTCTTAAAATGAGAACTTTTAAGATCTCTCTTAGCAACTTTCAAATATGCAGTATGATGTTATTAACTGTAGTTACCACCCCATACATTACAACCCCATGACTTACATATTTTATACCTGGAAGTTTGTACCTTTGACCCATTTTACTCACCTTCCACCTCTGGCAACCACCAGCCTGCTCTATCTATGAGCTTGGGTTTTTTTCTTGAAGTTTTATTTTAAATTGGATTAATCACTTTTAGATACGCTTTGGTTTGTTTGTTTTTTTTAAAAAGATACCAACTATAAAAAAATTCAGATTTGAGGCACCTGGGTGGCTCAGTCAGTTAAGCATCTGCCTTCGGCTCAGGTCATGGTTCCAGGGTCCTGGGACTGAGCCGCTCATCAGCTCCCTGCTCAGCTGGGAGCCTGCTTCTCCCTCTGCCTTCCCCCTCCCATGCTCTGTCTCTCCCTCTCTCTCTTTCAGATAAATAAATAAAAATCTTAAAAAGAAAAATAAATTTTAAAAAATTAAAAATTCAGATTTAAAATATGCTGAGGCTCAACAATGAAAGTGTAAAATGGAAATAACTTATAATTATGTAGTATTCCATGTGACTTTTTTTTTTTTTTTTAAAGATTTTATTTATTTATTTGAGAATGAGAGACAGAGAGCAGCAGAGGGAAGAGGGTCGGAGGGAGAAGCAGACTCCCTGCTGAGCAGGGAGCCTGATGCGGGACTCGATCCTGGGACTCCAGGATCATGACCTGAGCCGAAGGCAGTCGCTTAACCAACTGAGCCACCCAGGCGCCCTCCATGTGACTTTTAAGGGAAGCACATCTACCTCCATGGCTTCAGTTATGTCAAGTATTATTTGCATCCCAGCTCTCTGAGCTTACTGCCTACTCAACATCTCTACTTCAAAGGCCCAAACAGCTCTCAGCATCTCCAAGCCAAACTCCTGGCCCCACTCCGACAGCCCACAAACTCCTTTGCTAGTATTTCCTGAATGTCACTGGATGGTAATACATCTTGTCTTTCCATAAGTTAAAAACTTACGAATCATCTTTAATACCTCCATCAACTTCAGTCCTATGGCCAGGCCAGCCAAAGACGGAGCCTTATCAATTTTACCTCATTTTCTTTCTCAAATATTCTATATTTCTCTTCTGTTCATTACCCTTGCCGAAGCCACCAGAATTTTGATCCCCTTGCAGTTCTTCTCCATATTGCATTTGCTCTGTACTCAGTTATGCCACTTACACTGGAATGAGATCATCTTATTATGTGTATCACTTGGATAATACAAATAAAGCTATTTATTAAAAGACTGGATAGATCGTGGGAAGTGATATATATTATAGTTGTAAAGGTTCAAAACACCAGTTTTTAAAACAATGGGATTTATGAAATTGAAAAATACAAAATAACTAAATTGGTCTAAATCAGCATATTTCAGTTGTGTTTGTTATATGTTATTGAGAAAACCTTGATTTGTACAAGTCAGTAGTGACCAATGAGGATTCGAAACACTTAGTACCTGAAAATATACTTTAGCTCAACTGTCCTGGAAGCCTGAAAGAGGAGCAGAAGGAAATTTGTGTTTCAAAGTTGAGTTACTGAGAGTATCTCACAATTTGGCTAATTTCTTAATTTTGCAGGTGTAAATTTTAGAAAAAGTATGTGAAGTGGTTCCTCACGAGTTTCAGTCTTTTTGGGGGGAAAATATAATACTGCAGTGTTTAACAGCATCATTTTAAAAACTCACAGGTGCCTTTGAATATTCAGTTTCAAGACAAATTTCTTGTCTTGTATGTTCTCAGATTCTAACACCAACTTGGCATCAGTAGTTCGGTGACTTCTGACACTAACTATCCATAGTTTCCACAGGCCCCACAAATCAAGTGCTCATTCCCACAAGACTGTGCACCTCCCCTCCCTCACTTCATTCAGATGCCAGTTGCAAATACAATTTCAGTACTTCCGACCAACTGGCTTTAAATTTGGGGGTTCCCACAGCCCCCCTCTTCAGGTTTGGCAATTTGCTTAGATGATACAGAACTCAGGGTGCAAAAGACAAAGTGAGGTGAAGGTGCAGAGAGTCCTTGCCCTCTCCTCTCTGGTGCCCCACCTTTCCAGCACTTTGAGGAGGTCATCAACCTGTAAGCTCCCCAGACTCTGTTGTTCAGGTGTTTTTATGTGGGTTTTATTATGTGGGCATGTTTGATTAAATTGTTGGCTGTTGGTGATTAGACTTCGCTTCCTGCTTCTTTTCTCCCCTAAGGGTGAGGGTGGGGTGGGGCTGACAGTTCCAACCCCATCATCCTGGCTTGGCCTTTCTGGCGACCAGCCCTCATCCTGAAGCTCCCTAGGGGCAGAGGGAGAGGGGGAGAGAAAATCCTAAGCAGGCTCCACGCCCAGCGCAGAGCCCGACATGGGGCTCCATCTCACAACCCTGAGATCATGGCCTGAGCCAAAATCAAGAGTCGGGCACTGACTGAGCCACCCAGGCACCCGTTTACTTTCTATTTTTAAAAAGAAATTCTTTTGGGGGCGCCTGGGTGGCTCAGTCTTTAAGCGTATGCCTTCGGCTCAGGTCATGATCCCAGGGTCCTGGGATCAAGCCCCGCGTCGGGCTCCCTGCTTTGCGGGAAGCTTGTGTCTCCCTCACCCACTCCCCCTGCTTGTGTTCCCTCTCTCGCTGTGTCTCTCTCTGTCAAATAAATAAAATCTTTTTTTTAAAAAAAGAAATTCTTTTGAAGTATGTTAAAGCAAATCCCAGATACCATGTTAAGAGCTTCTTAAAAAGTACAGTATTAATAATAGTTAAATGGATATTTGAGAACAAAACTGACGTTGGACATTGGTCCAGAATATCTGAAGCATCTGTGCAGAACAGTTTGTAAGCCACTGCCTACCTAATTCTAGTCATAAAGGAGTCAGGTGAAAATAGATCTGAGTGCTTTAAAAAACTCTTCCCATGGTGCTGTTTTTTTGATCCTGTATTAGGATTAGGGTTAGGAAGTAGGATTAGAGGGTCATCTTGGAGTTCCCCTTAAAATCATGAGATACCATGATCATACCAGCTTATTTGGTTTTTGCTATTACTATTCTATTGTTATTTCAGGTATCAAAGTTAGGAAAGCATCATCTTAGTTTGTTCTTGAAAGAAATACCCTCATGTTACACCTTCCTAATTGCAGCATTTCTTCTAATAAAACCCAAGTTAGAAAGGATCTTTATTTTTCACAAGTGCTTTGAGAGACTACCTGGCCCAGCTTAGTGACAGAGCTTTGAAAGAAAAAATAACTTTATTATTGTATGATTTGTGTCTTAGTAAAATAAGGATTATTTGTTATTATTGTTTTTAAATGACATCAGTATTTTTTTTTAAGTTTTATTAAATCCAGTTGATTTTTCTGTTTTGAGTAAGCTCTCTGCCCAGTGTGGGGCTTGAACTCACAACCCTGGAATCAAGAGTCACATGCATGCTCTATCGACTAAGCCAGCTAGGTGCCCCAGGAGTATTTGTTTTTAAAGCCACTTCTGTATCTGATTTTTCAAATTAGTTTTTTTTTAATTTCAAGGTTTTTTTGTTTTTGTTTTTGTTTTTTTTTTTAAACACACACACATTTTTATTTATTTGAGAGAGAGAGCATGAGCGGGGAAAGAGGGAGAGGGAGAAGCAGACTCCCCACTGAGCAGGGAGCCTGATGCGGGGCTTGATCCCAGGACTCTGGGATCATGACCCGAGCCAAAGGCAGACGCCCAACTGACTGAGCTGCCCAACCACCCCTGATTCTTTTAGTTTTTTAAGTCTACAGAGAAGTTGCCATGGTGGGTAGGCCATGGTGGGTTTTTCATTTAATTTTGAAACAGTTCAATAATTTAAACACAGTTCAGTAATTTAAACAATATTCTGGGAAAGAGGGAATACTTGTTTTTGCCATCCAAAGATGAAAATCTGCTTCCTGCCTAACATTCAGACCCTGAAGCTGTCAGGGGCCAGATCTGACCCCTCTACCTTAGCTGGCATCATTTTAATGTTCTTTCCAGTCCAGTTATTTTAGCCTATGGAACAGTCTCTCGATCTATTTAGCTTTTTCTTCAATAGCTCTATTTGGTATAATTATTGTTTATATAACTGGGATAAAACACGCATACAGTTTGGGCTAGGAAAATTGATTTTAGAGGTAGCACCGGCTGTCCCCTTTCAGGCTGCTCTGCCGGCCTTGCTGAATCTTAGAGATGCTTAATAAAAGCAAGGAGGGAGGAACTTGGTGCTTGTCTCTGTGGATTCGGCTAGTAGAGATTATTTACCCATGCCAAAAAGATAAGTCTTTAATAGATGGCTTTTGTGTTTTGTTTTAGAATCACAAGAAGCTGATGAACAGCTGGTAGCAGAAGTGGTTGAAAAATGTTCATCTGAGACTTGTTCTAGAACCTCAGAAAATGAGGTAGCACAGCAGGCTGTTGATTCTTATGCGGCCAAGGATCTCAAAGAAGAACCTGAACATGAGAGTAGCAAAATTTCAGTAGTGAGGCCATTTTCAATAGAAACCAAGAATTCCACGGATATCCCAGCAGCTCTAGGAACAAAGGCCGCTTATGGTTGTGTGACTGTGGTCTCGGGTGAGGCTTTGCCCTCCAGCATACCAGAAGCCATTCCGGACAAGGCAATGACAGAAGACACCATGGGGGTTGCACTGGAGCCTTCCACAGAAGCTGACCTAAAGGCTGGCAGCTCCTGTCCAGAGCCTGTTCCCAGCAGAAGCAAGCTAAGAAAACCTAAACCCGTCTCTCTGAGGAAGAAGACAATCGGCGAATTCTTAGAAACTGATACTACCCTGGAGGGCACACCTCTCCCCCAGGCAGCCTATCAGTTCTGTCCCGATGAGACAGATGGGAACACAAATGCTTTGCTAGGAGGTGCCAGGATCCAGAAATCTCCCCCTGATATGAAGGAAATGCCGGGCCCTCCCAGCAGTGACACCAACGACTCAGGAGTTGAGCTGCTGGAGGAATCAAGGCACTCATCTCTGAAACTAGAGTTTGATTTCACAGAAGATGTGGAAAATATAGAGTCCAGGAAAGGCCTTCCAACGAAGGTTGGCAGGAAACTGGGTAGCAAACTGCCTCCCAAGGTACAGAAAGATAGTATTAGTAAGCTGGTGGGCGCCAAAGGCGCGGACCGGCCTACAGACCCCACTGCACATGGTGCTCCTCCCTCCCAGGCATCTGCTAAGCTGGATCCCAGCCAGTGGGATCACCACAACTTCAATCCCTTTGGCGGCCACTCCACTCTGCAGAACTCCCCCCCTCTCTCCTCTAAGGGATCCTACCACTTTGACGCATCCATGGATCCCTTTAAACCAACTACAACGTTAGCAAGCAGTGACTTTTGTTCTCCCGCCGGTAATCATATTAATGAAATCTTAGAGTCACCCAAGAAGGCAAAGTCGCGTTTAATAACGTGAGTGACGATGGGCGTGGGTGTTGTGTTCTGTGTACTCTGAGTTTGGCAGCCGACTGCTCTGGTTTTGTCCAACTGAAGTTACCTTTGAGGTGCCGCAGGGCAGACACACAGCTCATAGCTTTGTGTAGCAGTCTTCAGTATTTTGCTTAACTCTGGTGTAGGGTCAGAAACACCAGAGGCTTCCTTTTCAGGCATCTGCCTTGTTTCTGAATATTCAAGCTCCACAGTTTGGGTACTTTTCTCCTATTTAAAAAAAAAAAAAAAAGAATAGCGCACGATAGGTAGAGATTTGATGGTTTTCAGAAATCCTATCTGGGCTGTCAGGAATTAACTTTATCAGCAGAATTCAAGTGTCAGTGCTAGCCACCACCTTCAGATTCTCTGTGGATAAAACAAAAATTCCAAGCCTCCAGATTACCTGTCTAGTATCGGTAACATGTGCAGAATGGTCCCAAAAGGTCTTCTAGAAGTCTTTCACTTAAAACAGGAAGCTGTGATTTTTGTTGGAAACAAACCTACCGCTAAAAGTTGGTAAGAATTCTTGTGTCTCCCTGTTTAGCTTCTGGCTCCATCAGTAAGGCAGTAAATGTCCCGTGAGAATTAAGAACATTTTAAAACGTTCATGTAAATCTGACTGAATTAGTCTTTTGTTGTGTGTTGTCTCCCTCCTCCTCCTCCCCTGCTTTCTGGGACCTCCATAACCACCTTTGGAAGGTCCTTGGAGTTCTCAGAGTGATCAAGCTGGCTTCCATGTAAAGTTTCAGTTTAAATTTGTTACAGGGTTACCTATTCTCAGAACTTGGGTTGATGACAGTATATCCCTTTGTGACCCTGTGACATTAGAGAAGGACCAATGACATGGAGGATGAAATGTGAAAAGGGAGGATGAGAAGTACAATTATTTCTAGCTGTCACCATAGATGAGTCAGGGAAGTAATGGTCCGCAGTACTGTGACCTAACGGAGCATGCTAGATGGTATGATGCATTATACTAGAAAAATTTAAAGAGCAGAAAGCATCAGGACCAAGAAGCTTGAGCCATGAGAAATCAGTTCCTCGGCAACCCCAGAATGTCCAAGGTGAATGAAATGTCAGCAGTAGTTCTTGATCTGTTCTTTGATTATATATGAGCAGTTACATGGTTCCTGGAAAATATTGACTGGGCATCCTCAGAGTGCTCTTCTGTGACTGAGGCTGGTTACCTCTCTCTAGTCAGTGCTTCGGGTATGTGTTGGCCCCGTCATTGCCTTGGTGCTTCGTAATGTGGGATGTCTGAAATACGGGGTGCTTCTGGCTAGCAAGGTTGTTAAGGAGTCATCGGGGGCCTCCCTACAGTTGCATGTTGAAGCCGTGTAGCCAGTGCATTCATGTTAGATCAGAGTAAATCTGGACCAAAGGGAGGGGAGTTTATCCTACACCTAATTTGCAGTAGCAAGAAGTACCCTCTCAGGTCCTGCCACTCTCACCCGGTGGCATTTCCCTCCTATTCTGTTCTTGGTGAGTGAACTTCTTGATTTAATATACCTTACAGATTTTTTTTTCCTAACTCTTATGCAATCAAAACTCTTATCTCCTTGTTCTTTCTGTAAGAGAGGGTGCTCCACCTCTTGTGTAACTCTGGGGTTTTGTTTAGAAAATCCCTTCATCGGTAGGAAGGGCTGGAGTTGTCCCTGTGAAGTAGGATCGAGTGGAAAGTTAGAAGTTCTGTTAGCAGGTTACTTGTGGGGCTTTTTAAAAGATGCATGCAATTGGCATCTCAGATTCTTCTGTAAAGTGGAGACATTGTACCATCTATGATTGGTATTTTATGGTTCAAATAAAATAAATTATGTAAAATCACAGTAAGCTTCTTAGTGATACACACATACCGTAGTTATAATCTGATCCATTGTGAACTATTGTATTCACACATTGCCTTTAATCTGGATGACGAGACGTGAGTAAATGTTCTCAGTAGTGAAATGTTGGTTTTATATATTGACAAATATTTGGAAGTTCACTTTTCATCTATAAATTTGAATATGAGGCATTTCTGAGTGTTTCTACTCCTCTTACTCTGTTAGAGAGAGATTCCTGATAATCATTTGCTCACCAATGATAACATTCATGAATATGACATTTTTATTTGTATCCCACCTCATAGAAAGAATTTTTCAGCCTTTACATCTGCCAGACTACAGATAAATATTCCAGGCTTTACATGATTTTTTTCTCCATCTGTCTGTCTCTTTTCTGTCTCTAATTTTGTTGGTGCATCAGGACTACTGAACAAGTGAAATTTCTCTGTTTTCTGTTGTAAGTACTTCTGCTGTTTCTGTTTGTCCCTGGGACCGTTGGCAGTTCCTCTCCCCAGACCATCCCCAGACCATCTCTCCATAGCATGTTGGCTTGTTTCTGAGTTTGACCTTCTGATGATTTTTTGCATTTCATTTGCCACTTCATGAGTCAGCTTAGCCTTGCAATTTGTACCTAAAGGAGTGGAGATCAGCCTTCCACCTTAGGTGCAAGAGCTTGCGCTCCCTGGCTTGGCACGCCTCATGTGGCACTTTGATAATGAGCGCTGGCTTGGCCCCGAGATTATCCCGACAGTGGTCTGAGGGACGGCTCTGCTGTTGTTGGAAATAATTGACTTTTTTGATAGGATAAGGTTGCTGGCTTGAAACGGGATACATTTTAGAGGCAACTCCAATTTGGTGGTTTGGTAGCAGGGGGTGGCATTTAGTAAGACCATTAGTAAAAGAAAAATCCAGAAACTAGATAGTGATCATGCACATTCTGGTAACTTTATATGCTCCTCCCTTCCCCCTACCCCCAGAAGAAGAAGAAAAAGTTGTAAATTTATTTATTTTGGCGGAGTGGCTTTTTTACTGGGAATTTTAAGTTCATTAAAACTGAACGGAATCTGAACTAGTCTTCAGGTCATAAATTATGTGCCAGTTCCAGTCTTTGCACAAATAACATGACATTCGTTTTCCATCTTACTGCTTATTAGAAATGGTAACCATTTACACAAATATTTTTATTTTTGTACTTCAGTTGACCATAGTTCTTCTCTGTTAGCACACAGGTCTGGAACTGTCTTACCAGACTTACGTGGTTTTTAGTGCAATAAAGAACTTTTTTAAAGAATCTGGTCCAGTGTGGTAATTTTTCTAATGAATTGTCACAGCCAAGTGAGTAAGGATCAGATGAACTGAATGTCTCTAGGTGCTAAGGGTACTTCTGAAAGGCTTGGTGGTGTGTAAGCAGAAACCGCAGGCGTCAGGGTACTGGTGTTAAACGTCCCACAGAAGCACATGAGGAGGTCTTTTCAGAGAATGAGCTGAGCTCTAGTTCTGCTTGCCCTGTCTCCTGGGAGAAGATTCAGAGATGTGAAAGGTGTTCCCCTCTCTAGTGTGTAGATGTAGAACGTGTGTGGTGCTGTATGCTTTGGCTTTTTCTCTGCACACATTGCTTTCTCTGCTCCATCTCATAGCTTGGAAGCTGTCAATGTGATTCCAAAATGGCCTGTTTTTGTTTTTTGTTTTTTGTTTTTTTCCTTTCCAGGAGTGGCTGTAAGGTGAAGAAATATGAAACACAGTCTCTTGCTTTGGATGGCTGTTCTCAGGTGAGTCTCTGCCCATCACCAGAATGTCTCTTAGACCAGGGGCACCCCAAACGAGTTTGTATCCTCCTGGGGGGCATGGGGGAGCCAGGGGGGATTAATGAAGAGTTTCTGACAGGTGTCTGAGTATCTGGCTTTGAGGAAACCAATTTCCAGACCCTTAATTTCCTAAAGTGACCTGAGAAGGCTCCTGAGAACAGGGAAGCCCCCTCACATTAACCCTTTTCCCACTTGTATTGGGTGAAGTTTCCTCCCATTCTAAATCTTACTAAGATGCATTTTTACTGGGTATGAAACGTCTGGGACATCAGACAAAGGGCAGATTTGAAGTATTGATGCATGTTTAAGAAAGTGATTGATTCTAATAACTGGATAATTTTTTTTAAGTCAGATGGTTTTCCAGTTCGTTGCTTTTAGCAAAGTAGGAGAACCTGAGTTACCACCTGATAGATCATTAAAAATTATCTTCGACACGATGTTAAATGTCAGTTATATCTCAGTAAAATTATTTTGTTTAAAGATTTTATGTATTTGAGAGAGATAGCATGAGCCAGGGTAGGGACAGAGGGACAAATAGACTCTCCGCTGAGCAGGAATCCCGGAAACAGGGCTCTATCCCAGGACCATGAGACCTTGACCTGAGCCAAAGTCAGATGCTTAACTGGCTGAGCCATCCAGGAGCCCCCCCAAAATAATTTTTGATGATAGAATTTTTAGGTACGTAACTTGGAAAGGGGTTCCAAGAATCGAGAGTCATAACAAAACTTTTTTCTCTTTAATCTATTTGTATAAATAAGCTTAAATATCTAAGGCTTCTTATTGATTTATAATTATAAAAATGAAAAACAGGATTAAAATTCATATGGACCCTTGTTTCCTTCTAGCAATAAATATTTGTCCAGGACTGTATGAATTGGGAAACATAAAAGAAACAAAAATCCAGACCTATTTGATTGAGACCCTTTTTAAAACTTTATTTCAGCATAACTGATTACAGAAATACATTCATTGGTTAATAAAGTGCATTTTAAATTTAACTTATTTTACACAGTTTGGACCAACAACTTGGTATATGGCTGAAGATTAAAAAAAAAATTTGCCCTCTCACTTTTTTTTCATCTATTACAAATGTGTAAAGTATCCACTTTCAAATGCTGCTAAAGCAGGCAACAAGAACCATGAGAAATTTACCTTTAATTCAGAAAAATAGCACGTATGACACTGCAAAAGTTTTAAATAATTGGTACAACAAAATGTAATTGATACTTGTTTTTAGTAAAAACTTTTGAATTTGATAGTACTTATCAAAAGTTGTAATAATTTTAGGATACATTGTGCATTAGTTATGTACATTGATTAACTCTCCAGAAGAAAAACTTAATACTTAGAGACTTACAGTCATAGAAATTTTTTTTTAATTTTAACTTTTTTAACTGAGAAAAATGATAGGGAGAACTTTAAAAGACTTTCAAGTATACAAATGCTTTATTTAAAGAATAATTTCTTGGTGGAAGTAGAAGGGAAATACAAATTCAGAGGGGAAAAGCAATGATGCAAATTTCTGACTTAAAATTTTTAAATTAAAGAGTGTGTGTTCATGTTTGATTTTAAATGGATGACAGAGCATCATCATATCACTAGAGTAACTAGATTGAATTAAGCAAGGCCAGTTTTTAAAGTATACCAGATATTTTTTTTATATTTATGCTGAATAGTTTTTGGATGTCACCTGAAAATACAAAGGGGTACATTGATATTCCAAAACAATTCAGGGAGTATACGAGCAAAATATTTGAGAACCACTGTGGACCACTTAAAATTCTTGCTTATAAATTTGGCTAGAAAAGGTTAATTTTTCAGACGTCTGTGTGAATAACAGAACTTAGGTTCTAGAAAGCATAGTATTCATGATTGAGAGACCCCACCTTCCTTGACTGGTACCAAAATCTGTGGTTAAGTGTTACCAGACACCCTCTGGAATGGTGTCTGAGATGTCGCCTTCCCCACTGTTGGTCCTCCTAAACGGTAGCATCTGATCTGTTGCATTTCCCAGGATGAAGGAGCAGTGATCGCCCAGATTTCAGATATTTCTAATAGGGATGGCCACGCTACTGATGAGGAGAAACTGGCGTCCACTTCATCTGGTCAGAAATCATCTGGGGCCGAGGTGAAAGGTGAGCCAGAGGAAGACCTGGAGTACTTTGAATGTTCCAATGTTCCTGTGTCTACCATAAATCATGCGTTTTCATCCTCAGAAGCAGGTATGGAAGTATATGTTCATCTTTCTAATGTACTTAAGCCTAGAAATGCCTGAAAGCCTAATGCAGGAGGCAGTTTAAAGAGATTAGAGAATTGGGTCACTTAGAGGAGAGATCTATGCTTTGCTTCTTTACCTAGAAAAGAGGCACAGGAGGGTGTCTTGTTGAAGTACCAGAGACACAGGGATGAGCGTGGCAGAATGCACAGGAGACACTGACGTATGAGACTACTTGAATTTTGAATCATTTATTGTATGGGACCACATCGCAAAATATAGTGGCCTATAGCCATGTTGTGATTGTTGTTCAACTTAGAGAAATAACAGTAACACGGATAGTGCCTTACCGTGTGCAGGCACAGTTCTAAGTGCTTTACATCTATTAACTGATTACTCCTTGATCAGTATTGTTTTTTTCCCCCATTTTTCAGAGAAGGAAGGTGAGACATAGAAGTTAAGTGAGTCAGCCAAGGTCACTTGACTAGCAAATGGTAGAACTAGGATTCGAACCTCAACAATCTGGTTTCACGGTCTTTTAACCGCAGTGCTAATGTGGGAAGAGATTGCTTTCATGAGTAGAATATTATACGTTTTCCTGCTCACCGTTGTGGTAGATTGAAATTGACCAATATCCTGAAAAATCCTTAATGTTCTAATAAGAACTAACTAGACTAACCAATGCTGAAGCTTCTCACTGTTGAACTCTAGAGCTGAGGCCCTTGTCCAGGTCCCAAGTTATATCTGTGGCCTTAAATTTGACTTGTCAGATGGTTAGAAACCATGTTCCTGACTACTGTAAACATTATTAAAAACTCAGATTTTCAGCAGTGTAAGTTGATCTGGGGACTTTTATACTCAGAATATTAAAAATCACAAACATGTCATCAAACCAGGGAAGCAGGTGGAAGTCCAGACTTTGCAAGAGTTCTCCCCTCAGCCTCTGCCCACTGCCCACATCTCCATCTCCCATCTGTAGAGTAAAAGTGCCAGGCACTATTCCACGTTTCTTCCCAGGCCGCTTTCTGCTCTGACATCATCCCAGGGATGATCCTGAGTATTCTTGTACCTACATTATTTCTTACATTTAAAATGCCTTTCTTGGGGCGCCTGGGTGGCTCAGTCGTTAAGCGTCTGCCTTCGCTCAGGTCATAATCCCAGGGTCCTGGGATCGAGCCCCTCATTGGGCTCCCTGCTCAACGGGAAGCCTGCTTCTCCCTCTCCCACTCCCCCTGCTTGTGTTCCCTCTCTCCGTGTGTCTCTCTCCGTCAAATAAATAAATAAATATCTTTAAAAAATAATAAAAATAAAATAAAATGCCTTTCTTTGCCATCTTCTATAAAAATTCTGTCGTTCTTTCAGGTTTCTGTCAAAAGTGTGACTTGGCTTCCACACTATGTTCCCACTGCATTTCTTCTTACAACTCCTATTCCATGTATTATAACAGGTGTCTCTGATAAACTTCTTGAGGGTAAGGACTATGAGTGATTCATCTTTGAATTTCCTCTGGTATAGGAGCATGTAGATATTTGATGGATTATATTCTTCCTCACTAGAGGAAATTCCTCCCATGGAAATTTCTAGAGCTGGGGTTCTGTTAGCCACGGTGCTGTCCTTAGAGTTAGTGAAAAGCTAGTGCTTCAGCTCCAGGGACTGATCAGCTGTGTCCTGGGAGCAAGCAGAGGCTACGTCATGCAGGGGTGGTAAGCGTTGTGGAGGTGGGAAAGGAGTTCTGGCCGGCAGGGGAATCAGACTCTCCAGGGAGAGTCACCTTTGCACCAGGTCTTGATAGATAGACACATAGATGTGCCCCAGGGAACGAGAATCTCTCCCAGGGGCAGGAAGGAACCTGCCGTGTTGGTAAATGCTCAGCAGTTCTCTGTGAATTCAGGAAAAGTGGGAAAACAAGGTTGTACTGAGGAATCTGGGCTTGATCCTGTCAGTAAAGGGGAGCCACTGAAGATCTGTAGGCAGAGTGGTGATGGTCACATTTGTGTTTTAAATAATTCACTGTTGATAGTACACTAAAATAATAATTCGCTGTTGCCACATGGAGGATTGTAGCTTTAGAATTGTGGCTTTTTTCGTATTTAAAATTTTCTTCAATGAGTGCATATTCCTTTAATTAGAAAAAGCATAGTATTTTTTCTTTTTAATGTTGCCTTTGGTGGTGGTAGACAAGTTTGAAAGTGTATGGGAAGGAGAATGAATTTAGTTTTTCGGGCATTGAAATTGAGAGCTTATTGTTTTATCTGCTACATTAATTAGTCTGAGGGTACCCTTCTGCGCTGGAATGTAAATTCACTCAGACCTGCTAATAAAAATAACATTCACGTTGTGGTTTCCTCTTTCTGACCTAGTCCCATGGTTGTAATAACAACTTATTTACAAAACTTTTTACGGACACAAGGGGGCAGCCTTGCTGTTCTTTCCACCTGAAGATGGTGATTGTGTGTATAGCTGTCTAAGGGCACACTCCCCTTCCTTCTGAGTATTTCGGACTTTTAACACAGACAACACATCTATCAACAAAGTGCCGGTGCTCCTTTGAAAATCTGGAAATGCTGTTCATGGGTTCATAGATGTCACTCTGGGCCTGCACTATGGTCTCCAGAGTCTTCATCAGGAAAGACAGGAACTAACTTCTTGGGATAACTATAAAAATGACTCTCTGTGTTGTAGGCATAGAGAAAGAGACGTGCCAGAAGATGGAAAAAGATGGATCTGCCATGACCGTAAGTTCCTATAATTGTGGGGGGCGGGGGAAGTGTGGGGCTCAGGTTTGTTTGTTTTCAGTATTTATTTTAAAGCCCGCATTTAACATTAACAAAATTGTAGTCAGTGTTTGGTGATGGGCTGAAATATAAATAAAAGTTTCTTCACTTGAGGAGCTCGTAGTCTATCCTGATATCTATCCAGTAGCCACCAGCCTCATGTGGCCACTGAGCACCTGACCTGTAGCTAGTCTGAATTGAGATGTCTTGTAAATATAAAATATAACTTGTCTTTAAAGACTTAGGACAAAAAAAAAAAAAAGGAAAATAAAATGCCTCGAACTTTTTATATTCATTACATGTCGAGATGATCCTATTTTATTTTATTTATTTATTTTTTTTAAGATTTTATTTATTTTGACAGGGAGAGACACAGTGAGAGAGGGAACACAAGCAGAGGGAGTGGGAGAGGGAGAAGCAGGCTTCCCGCGGAGCAGGGAGCCCAACGCAGGGCTCGATCCCAGGACCCCGGGATCATGACCTGAGCCGAAGGCAGACGCTTAACGACTGAGCCACCCAGGCGCCCCGATCCTATTTTAGATGTATTAGGTTAACTGAACTATATTATTAAAATTAATTTTACTTGTGTGTCTTTTTACTTTTTAAATGGCTACCGAAGCATTTTAAATTACCAAGGGCTTGCATTATAATTCTTTTGAACAGCACTGGTAGTGGATACAAAATGAAAACTAATGAGACCATGTGAATGTGAATGTTGTAATCCAATGTGTTCCGGGGGCTGTGGGAGCCAGGGCTGACCGCCTGCGCGGCAGGTGTTGGGGAGGCTGAATTTGAGCTCATCTTTAAAAGCAAAATTATGTTACACTTTTTAGACTTACAAAAATAGTACAAAGAATTCCTATAAACCTTTCACCCATATTCCTTGAATGTTAACATTTTATATAATCACAGTACAGTTATCAAAATCAGTGAACACTGGTACAGTATTATTATCTAAGCTATAAGCTGTATTTGAATTGTGTCAGTTGTCCCAGTAACATCCTCTTTCTGGTGCAGGATTCAGCTCAGGATCCCACGTTGCATTTAGTTCTCGGGTTCTCAGTCTCCTGTAATCTGTGATAGTTTTTCACTCTTTGTCTTTCCTGACCTTGACACTTTTGAAGAATACAGGTCAGTGTTTTGTAGAATATCTTTCATTTTGGGTTCATCCAGTGTTTCTCCTGATTAAATTCAGTTTATGCATTTTGGGCACAAAGCCATCAGAAGTGACCTTGTGGATCCCAGCTTGTCCCATTATTGGTGGAGTTAACTTTGATCACTTGGTTAAGGTAGTGTTGTCTTAGCTTCTGCCATTTGAACTTAGTTTGAAAGATAAAGCAGTGAAGGGTGTTCTGGGCAGCAGAATTGGCCTGCACAAAGGCCGGGAGTGAGAAGCATAGGCTCTATGAGGAAGTGGAAGTGTTAGTCATCTCGTGTGATCAGAGGGTAGTCCACATATAGTAGCTGAGGGCCAGATCATCAGGGGCTAGTGACATGGTGCCAGGAGGTTTGAAATTTGTGGTAGAAGCAGTAGGGAACTGTCATGGGGTTTTAAGTAAGGAGCATCGTGATGGGTAAGAGTTCAAAGGATGGGGTGGAGGCTGAGAGAGATTTATCAGGTAGAACCATCACTGTTTGGTGCCTAGGGAGATATGCGTGGCGGCTGGGGTGGAGTGGTGGTGGGAAAAAGTTGGTGAAAGCCACCCAACGTTTCTTCGTTGAATGTCCAAGCGGTCAGTGTTACTGATAACCCGCCCCACAAACCTGGGGTGCCCAGGGGCTTCTCCCTCCCCCTTATTCCCACAAGCAAAATCTACTATTTCGACATCCGGAAACCATATATTGTAAACCCACCGATGTTTCTCCAGCCTGTGGCCGCCACCAGTCTTTTAAAATATGGTGGTAGTTTCCTAACCAGTATCCCTGTTTCCAGGCTGTTCTCTCATCCTTTTACATAAGCCAAGGTAATGTTTCAAACACCAAACCGATCTTGTTACTCTTTGCTTAACCCTCTTGGTTGGCTTCCCTCGTCTGTAGAATAAGTTCAGACTCTTCCGGCGGCGGATATGGCTTTCTGCACTGGACTCTGCCTTTCTCTCCAGCTTCCACTGTCTCCTCTCTCCCTCACACATCTGACCGAACCACATGGAAGTTCTTTCAGTTCTGTGAACCTTCCCGTTGGAGTCACTTCTTGTTCTCCCTTCCTTCCTTCCAACACTATAAGCTTGGTGAAGGTAGGGACCACGACTGTCTGTTTGCTGCTACTTCAGCACCTACCACAATAAATTCTGCTGAACACGGGAATCAGTAAAGTAAGAATACAGAAAGAGGAGCAGAATTGTAGAAGTTAATTTTTAGATCTGTGGCTTTGAAACCTCTGTGGGACCAGTTTCTAAGTCCTTATTTCCAGGAGGCAGTTCTAATAAGTACATAGCATGAGTTCAGTAAAAGCCTGGGTTGGGTTTATTTGCTATTTTTTTTTTTAACATTGATTTTTATTTTTTTTAAGATTTTTTTTATTTATTTATTTGAGAGAGAGAGCACGCACAAGCAGAGGGAGGGGCAGAGGGCAAGCAGACTCCCTGCTGAGCAGGGAGCCCTCAATCCCAGGACCCTGAAATCATGCCCTGAGCCAAAGTCAGATGCTTAACCGACTGAGCCACCCAGGCGCCCCAAAATGTATTTATTTTAGAGAGAGAGTGTGTGCGAGGTGGGGAGAGGGAGAGAATCCTCAGTCAGACTCCCTGCTGAATGCGGAGCCCAATGCAGGCCTAAATCCCCAGACCTAAGGTCACCACTAGAGCCAAAACCAAGAGTTGAAGGCTTAACTCACTAAGCCACCCAGGCACCCCAGCCCTTAAATCTATTAAAGCCAACCCAGGGGGTGCCTGGGTGACACAGTGGGTTAAGCCTCTGACTCTTGGTTTCAGTTCAGGTCGTGATCTCAGGGTTGTGAGATCAAGCTCTGCATCGGACTCCACGTTCAGCATAGAGTCTGCTTTAGACTCTCTCTCCCTTTCCCTCTTCCCTTCTCTCTCTCTCTCTCTCTCTCTCTCTCAAATAAATAAATAAAATCTTTAAAAAATTTGAGGGTCTTTAGGACATAGGATAGTTGAAGCTATAGGATTAGATGAAGCTGTGATTGAAACATCCTTTACCTTAATCCACAGTAAAAATACATTTTGCATCTTGACATATATATATATATATATATATATGAATGACATCACAACATATGCATTTGTATTTTTATAAAACAAATTGCACAAAACAGTATCTACCTTTCTTCATGTGATTCCCTCTGCTATTTTTCTATTCTATTTCATTTTTTAAAAGATTTTATTTATTTATTTGAGAGAAAGAGAGCAAGCATGAGAGAGCATGAGCAGGGGAAGAGGAAGGGCAGAGTGAGAGACTCCCCACTGAGCTGGGAGCCTGACTAAGGGCTCGATCCCAGGACCCTGGGATCAAGACCTGAACCAAAAGCAGACGCTTAACCAACTGAACCACCCAGGCACCTCCTCTATTTCATTTTTTAAATTCCATTTCATTTTTTAATGCAGATTGCATGTCCTAATAAATTGTTTTCAGGACTCACTGTTAGGCCAAGACACACAGTGATTCCCTAGAGGACACAGAATGAGCAAACGTGAAGGTAGATGGGTGAAGGAGTAGCCTGTGGAAACGTGGGCAGAAGGAGGATATACACAAAGCACATAGGGTCTCAGGAGCGTTGTCCCCCTACAAGGGCTTCACACATTAGTGAATTTGTTTCTGGACAAAATCACTTTTTTGGGAGCCAGGTCGCCTAATCCCAGCACAGCCACTCATGGGCCTGTCTTTCCTCATCTGTGGGAGAGAGGGGTGCCTGCCACCCCCACCCACGATAGGCTGACATTACACACGCCACTACCCAAAGAGCCTGCTCATGCACTTGGGGAAACCAGTTCCTTTGGAAGTTTTCTAAGTACTAAGGGAGCGCTTTCTTGTGTTTTCAGTCTTTAAAAATAGCAAACGGTTGATCAGGGCAGGTTGTGTTGAGTGGACCAAGCCTTGGTCTGCACAGCTGCAGGTTTAGGTGGCTTCCCCAGCGTTGGGAACAGACTGGTTCAACTTCCGGATTCCCAACTTCTTCATCTATAAAATGAGAGCACCTATTGGCCTCATCCGGTGGTCATGAGGATGAAAGGCAGTGATAATGTTAAAAATGGGAGCTGCAGAGTGGTAGGCCACTGTCAGGTGGGCTGATGCTGCCAGGAAGAGGGTGGGAGAGTGAGCAAGAAAGAAAAGTGGGGAATACTTGTCTTTGGAGCTGGCTGCCAAAGAACATACCCTATGTTGTGATCTTTTAAAAGTAACCCCAGTGGAACTTCCTGAAGTCAATGAATTTCTACTTCCTAGAATGTGGAATAGGTGTCGCATAAGGAAATTGCAGTATTCAAAACATTGAATAAAGAAATCTGGTTCATCTAGCATTCACTTGTTTAAGTCTCTCTGTGTTTCTTGGAAGCGCATTCCTGTTGCAGCAGTCGGTGGTAGCCAGGGCAAAGTGACTTAAGGCCAGAGTGCACTCAGTGGGCAGTGAGTCTCATCTTGCTTATCGGCTATTGGTCTGCAGCGTTTTTCAGTTAGGAGTCAATTTATTTTTTTAGGAAGGCTTAAACTTCTAAAAATTGAGTTCAGTTGGTTAGAGCTCAGTGGCTGGGGTGGTACTACTCCATTGGATTCAAGGACAGAAGATGGGATGGACTCCGCTTGCTGTGAGAGACTAACGGTGCTCATTTTCCCACTGCAAGGACACGAGCAGAGAGGTTTCCTTGGTGGCATCTGTGCTCACTGCCAGTCTGCAACAGACTGCATTGAGTTCCACTGTCTAGAGACAGGTCTTTCTTGGCCCTCACTTGTGAATGCTTTGGGGAAAGGGGAAAGGATTAGGGTACGTGAAACGATCCTTTGGAAGGCTGGGACTGACTGGGTTAGCATCTTTATTAAACATAATAGATTACCCAGCCCAGGATGAGATTGTCAGGTCAGTTCTTTATGATGGTAGATTCCGTAGGCTTTCTGTGCTGTTGGATAAGCAATATAAAGGACTAAAGAAGGTGAAAAGCTAAATCCTAGGATTCTTGAAAAAGGTGATTAAAATAGGCCATGGCCATAAATTCCTCATAAGAGCTGTTGCATTTTGCATTTAAGCCATGAGGGGAGAGGCACGGGGCCACGTGGAAGGGAGTGACTAGCAGCCCACTCATCTGGATATATCTGCCCCCATCTAAGGTCTGATCACCTGCTTCCACTTGGGATGTTGCCTCTTCCAGATACATTAAGCTGTTGAGCAAGTGGGCAGACAACTCATTTATCCTCTCAACAAATGAATGAGATACTGACTTCTAGAATAGACATTGATGTTTTCCTTACTAAGAAAACTCTTTTTGGCTTATTTCCCAAAATCTTGCTAACTTCAGGGTCATGGGAGGCACAGAAGGGCTGTTTCTTAGAATTGATTTGACTTGGTGATTCTGGCTTCAACTAATAAAAACACAGAAGACTGATTTTAAAATGTATTAATTTAGAATCAGAAATTCAACAAAGTGAACCAAATGTGTCAGCTTGACCTAGGGTGTTACCTCCCTGTAGGCAAGTTACATGGGAAACCAAGAGTATGAGAAAGTTTCTTGAGGGAGAAGCATGGCACAGGAAGTTAATGGACTGATGCCTCAAATGTCCAGAGGTTTATTCATTATCCACAAGAAACATTTCTGATGTCCTCCTGCTGGCTCTGGAATCCTGGGGCAGTTCTGCTGGTGCCTCTGATCTTACACAGGCTGCAGTCAAGGTACTGACCAGAGCTGCAGTCACTCCAGGCTCAACTTGGGGTGGAGCCACTTCCAAGCTCACTCACGCGGCTGTCGGCATGTCTCAAGTCCTCACTAGCTGTTGGCAGAGACATCAATTCCTTGCCATGTGGGCCTCTCCATAGAGAGTTCTTCGCAGTGTGGAAGCTGGAGTCTTTTTGTAAACTAATCTCAAAAGTGACATCCCATGGCTTTTACCATAGTCTCTTTAGAAGTGAGTCCCCAGGTCCAGCCTAGACTCAAGGGGAGAAGATTACATGAGAGGATGAGTACCAGGACAGTGGGGGTCATCGGGGGCCGTGTTTGAGGCTGCCCACAAGTGGCTTCTGGCTCTAGTGATAGATCTACCCCATGACAGTGTTTCTGGAGGGACCATGGACTCCTGTCAGCAGGGTGGGCTGCCTTCCTCCAGATGTTGCTTGAAACGGGCGCTGCCAGCTTGTGGCTTTCACATTCCCCATTTCCCTGGCCTAAGCCAGGGCTTTCTGTATCAGGCCCTTCTACATGAAGCTAAAGGCAAAAATTATGTGTGAATTTTTGAGCATTTTCTAGAGAAAGAGTGATTTGCAATGACCGTGAAAAGTTTAAAAACTACTGGTCTAAGCTGACTCTGGACTTTTTGTTCAGTCTTGGTTCAAACAAGATACCAGAGAGATTGGTTATATAGATTCTTAAGAGTGTTAAGATTATTGCCAGGTCCTTGGGCTGGCATTTTGGATGTTATTAGATCAGTTTTTTCCTATTTACACAAAAAAGTTTACTTACACAGGTGGGAGGAAAGAGCCCCAAAAATGCCTTTTAGGAAAGAGCAGAGGATGAAGTCCATGTTCATGTGAAAAAAATCACCACTGTAGCTTTCTGGAACCTGAGTTTACAATAAAAGCAAGCTGCTGCATCAGAAGGGAACTGAAAACTTAACAGCAAGGAAGAATCAAAAAAGTGAAAGTGCAGGCATAGATCTGGACTTTACCTGTGGCCACTTTGTACAGGGACCATTCATGGTGTCCACCTGACAGCATCAGTGGGTCAGGGCCGGACGTCACTGCAGAGCAACTGAAGTTCCTGGTGGCCCCGAATTGTTCTGGGGTTGGGGCAGGGGAGTCAGCATTCAGATGTGTGTGCCATTTCTGCTTCCTGAAGCCTGAGAGTTACTAATCCACTTTAGAAACATTTCTATCCAAGGTAACTAAAGAGGTACACAAAAGTATCAATATGTTTAAAAGTTGATACTTCATTATGTTTGAAAGTTGATACGTTTTTGGGAAAAGTTACATGGAATGCATCATCCCCAGAAATCCCCTGAAAAATGAGACATTTTTCCTTTTCAAGCATGTGATTCTTTGGTGACCCGTCACTGTGATAATCACACTTTCTCCTTTTTGGATAAGGAGAAAACTTCACTAGGCTGTCTATTAAATGGAAGTTAACTTGCTCCCCCACCCCCATATTCATTAGAGAACTTTTTCCTTTAGATAGTACCGTAACTAGATTTTATTTTATTTTATTTTTTGAAAGCTTCCCCTGCAGTGTTTTTATCTTCAAACATGTTTTTAAACATTGTAGTCCGTTGAGTAATGAGGAAGTTTTTGAAGGATGCTTGGGGTTGGGAAGCTGAAGACTGAAGGTATTAAGTGTAACTTCTTGCCCCCTTAGGGACTATTGTTGGAGTCCTCTGTGGAGAAGGCCCCTGTGTCTGTGGCCTGTGGAGGGGAGAGCCCCCTGGATGGCATCTGCCTCAGTGAATCAGATAAGACAGCCGTGCTTACCCTCATAAGAGAAGAGGTAAAGGCCCTCGTGTTCTGTCCACTTTTCACTCCCTGACTTTGTGAAGCCCATGCGCCAGCAGGGAGATCCTATCTCTGTTTGACTTGAGTTATTCCTGGCTGGAAGTTCTTATTTCCTGAGCTTGTGTAGTTCATAGAAAGGGCTCCCTGTAAAACTCTCATTGGTGCTGGAGTCCTGGGGAAAAAGCTGACAGCGCTTCGTTATCTTTCAGCCTTGAAGTTTTTTGAATATTGAATTCTGCCAACTCTTCCCACATATGTAACTAAATCAGTGTCTTCGTTTAACAGACTTGCAGTAATATAAAATTGCTTCCCACTTTGATCCATTCTTTAATTAAACAGATCAACTCTTAAATTCCTTTCCTGTGTCTCTTGAACAGCCTCTTTTCAAAATAGATTCCTGCTAGGCCTTTCCTGGGTGATTAGAAAAATATGAAAGATGCAGTCATGTGCTCTTAATCAGTTACCACCCTCTCCTGTTATGTTTCTATGCTGTATTTTATGTGTTTGGCTTGTGTGTTTCTTGATGATCCCACCCTTTTTTTTTTAAAGAAGGGAATTCCCTTATTTGTAGCAATGTTATTTTTATAATACAGTGAGAGTAGTTAAGAACCTGTTATATAGGTCTTTTAAAGCTTCACAAAATAGTATTAGGTTGATAATGAGGGATGTCAGCTGGTCCTGTTGTCAGAACTTGGGAGCAGTGGTGAGAAGGCCCTACCAAAATCTTGTCAATGAGAAAAATGACCTCATCTTCCTCCCGAGAGTGAAACTATGAGAAGACTGCCTAATGGAGCAGAGCAAGAATGTGCCTCATCACCTGAAGCAGACGGGCTGGCTGCTAGTTCTTGAGATTCTGTTAAAGGCACCAAAATAAAGACTGTTGTTATCAATGAGAAAGAGAGAAGCATAGAGAAGTATAATAAAAGGAAAACACTGATGCCTTTCTAAGCTCTGTCCAGGCACATGGAGTTTGAGGTAATGATTTATTGAGGGCATCCCAAACAGGGATACGGGTGCTGGTCTGAGGAGCAAGATCCTGCCTGTAGTGAGATACAGGTGCATCTGGCTGGAGGTTTTGAACTTCTGAGCCCCTAGTTATGACTCCATTCTTATCAAGCCATCAGAAATCTCTGTAGAATGAGAATATGCTGGTCATGCTAATGCTCTGATGCTGTCATAGTTCTATTTCTTATCATAAGTAAAATTAGTACTTTGATTAAGGTGAGTCTCTGCCAGGCTGATGGCTCTTCTTTTGGTGTCCTGTCCCAATCACAGTTCTGGGCCTACAGAGCTAAGAGCCAGACCCTGGACCTGGGTAAAATTCACAGAGATTGTGATTATCACTTGGAAGTTTCCTGGGAGATGTTCTCTTCACCTCTACTTTGGTGGCTACGTTTCCACCATCCTATGTGGCAGAGAGTACATTTTTCCAAATGCTTGTGAGCATTATACACAGAGGTTGAGGCTTTATATTCCCAATGTAGCTTGAATGTCTTGGGATGCACCTGGCTGTATGTTTTCAGTTTTCAATCTTAAATTCAAACTGTAATAGATTTCAGTAGGTAAAACCAAGCTTTATCTCTATTATAATTTAGATAATCACTAAGGAAATTGAAGCAAATGAATGGAAGAAAAAATACGAAGAAACCCGACAAGAAGTCTTGGAGATGAGGTTAGACTAGAGGTTTGGGGGAAGGGTTGGATACCTTTATGCATTGTTAGATTTAATATAAATGTAGTAATGAAAGTATTTGCTTACCACAGAACCAGCTGTTGAGAACTAGACGGCATTGATATTTGCACCTTAATTTGTGATTGACAGTGTCTTTTCATGAGTGTTTCTGACCAGTTATTCAAAATTTTTTTTTAAGATTTTATTTATTTGCGAGAGAGAGAATGAGAGACAGCGTGAGAGGGAGGAGGGTCAGAGGGAGAAGCAGACTCCCCGCTGAGCAGGGAGCCCGATGTGGGACTTGATCCCGGGACTCCAGGATCATGACCTGAGCTGAAGGCAGTCGCTTAACCAGGCGCCCTGACCAGTTATTCAAATACTGTAGCTTCTTGTGGGTTTTTGAAAACATTACAAGTAAGCAGAACCCACATAGTTCTTACCTTTTGAAGAGACATCAATTTGTGCGAAAAAAATCCACTTAAACTCCAGAATAATAAGATTTATTGACATACTCAGTTATGGAGACATTATAATTTGTAACACTTTTCTAAAACTCAGTTACACATGATGGCTTCAAATTTCATAACCACCAAATAGATTATAAAAAGCATGTTAACAGGAAACAAAATCGATTGACTTAAATTGAGATCTTTTTATTTTTGCTCTTCATTCCCTAGAAAGGAGAATTAGAAGCTGTGAAATAACTAAAGATGGCAACAAAGAAGAAGAAAAACGCATAATTTATACACTCATACAGTCAACACTTGAATGATAAACATTTTAATTATGCCCACTTGAATTTGTAGCTCTTGTATTACTTGCTTTGTGAGCATTTACTGGGTGTGAGGTCCCGTGCAGGGTGTAGCAAACAGGAGGGGACAGCCCCTGCCCTTAGCTTACAGTAGCCGTCGGAAGAAACTCGGACCAAAGTGATGGGCACCACCAGCGAGGGGCAGGGGAACCATCATTTCTCACTGAGGAGTCACAGGGAAGAGCACTCATCTTACTGGAAAGGGTCAGGAACACTTCACTGCACTTCACCAAAAAGAAAGGTTCACATGACAGGGTGATCTTTAAAGTGTTTGAATAACTGAAATGCTTTTGGAACTAGGACAGTAAAATAAAATTTGTGACTGAATCAGAGGGCACGGACTGCCCATAAGGGTGGATGAGGGCCAGGAAAGCCTGAACTCAGATCAGACTTCTTAGGAAGAACCCCAAGAATGTCATTCACTTACTTTGTAAAAGATTGATTTGTCCAGGCAGAGTTAATGTTATTGCCTTGAGGTCATTTACATGAGGTTCAAAGAGAAAGTGAAGGCAGTTTCTATAGATAAAATAAATAGAATGAAAGGCTTGTTAAACATAAAATCTTCAGAAAAACTTTTTTTGAACGTTAACAAATCTTACCTTAATATTAAAAAAGCCCCAAAGCAGATAATTGGGTTATGTAAATTTGTTCATTTGAACATCATTTAAATATTCATTGAACATCATATACAGTGTTCAAATGTTCGTTTGTTAATGTGTTTGTTTAGGGCAGCATATCTCCAACTTCCATTGAAAATTCTCTTCTGATAATAATTTTTTTTTTTTAAGGAAAATTGTGGCTGAATATGAAAAGACCATTGCCCAAATGATTGGTAAGGACTTTTTTTTTTTTTTTTAAGATTTTACTTGTTTATTTGAGAGAGAGTGAGTGCGTGTGGCGGAGGGGCAGAGGGAGAAGGAGAAAGATTCTCAAACAGACTCCCACTGAGCGGGGAGCTGGACTTGGGGCTCAGTCTCACGACCCTGAGTTCATGACCTGAGCCGGACATGACCAAGAGGCGGACACTTAGCCGACTGAGCCATCCAGGCGCCCCTGGCCTTTTTCTTTGGTGTGAGCCACAGGTTCCATAGATGATTTTCAAATCAGAATATGAGCTTCCACTTGTCCCTCTTTTAGGTTCAGTTGATGCTCACTGTTTGCAGTGGTTCCGTTCTACAACGTTGCCACAAACACTGAATTAGCAAATACTGAGCTATTGCTTTAGGGGAAGTACAGGGTGAGGTTCCTGCGGGCCTCTGGTCACAACATCTTTGTCAATACATAACCTTGTCTTATTGTATTTCTGTTTAAAGACATCTGGTTTAATGTCAGTTCATTAACATTGAACTCATGGCGCAGTGCTGTATTCGTGTCTGAATGAAGATGATCTCACGAAGGTATTTTCTCTGTAAGGCACATCACAGCCTTCTTGCTCACCCAGAAAGCACAAAAATGCAAAAATCATGATACTAAATAGACTGAAAAGGATACTTATTTACAGTATGAAACAAGGAGGCAGTGTGTCGTCTGGTTCAGCCTTAGCTGAGAATGTGCACGTTAAGTGACTGACATTTTTTGCCCCTCTGCACATGACTAGGAATGCACCCCAAGTACTGATTTTTAGTTTACAAATAAATTGTAGCAAGTGGATAAATTCACAAGGACACAATCCGCAAATAATGAGCATCAGCCATAGTTAGGTTCATTTTAGAGGCTAGCAAATGCTTGAATTCTGTGACAAACCCTCCACCTGGCACCCAGAAGGTTGATGGCCTACTCATATCATCAGTACCCCTGGGTGGGGTCTTCCTTTGGGTGCAGTGTCCTTACTCTGCTGCAAGTTGTACTTTTTCCCTGTATTTGACACACTGGTACCTTTTACAAACCAACAGTAGTTGGTGCTCATGCATTGAATTTAGAAATAACTCTGCAGCCAATATTGTCAGGACTGACTGCCTAAGTCTTTCTCTGCTTAAGCACTGAAATGATATTTTCTACGGTCCACATCACCTCATGCCTTCCCATTGTAGGGCCTTTGTCATAGCTGCTCCTCTGCTGGAATATTCTCCCTGGATAGCTGCATGGCTCCCACCCTCAGCTCCTTTGCATCCCTCTGAGAGAGGCCACCTATTTGAAAAAGGAACCCCACCCCTCTTGTTCTGCTTTGGTTTCCCCCCATCACTTGTCACCATCTGAATCTCCCACTGACATAAGTCCTTGAGAGGAACTTTGTTATGTCCACTGCTGGGTCCCCCACCAAGAATACGGCTTAGCTCACAGAGGGCAGCTGATAACCATCTGTTGTATGACTCTGCCTTCACTTTTGATTGTGGTTCACAGAAGATGAACAGAGGACAAGTATGACCTCTCAGAAAAGCTTCCAGCAACTGACCATGGAGAAGGAGCAGGCCCTGGCTGACCTTAATTCTGTGGAAAGGTCCCTTTCTGATCTCTTCAGGAGATACGAGAACCTGAAAGGCGTTCTGGAAGGGTTCAAGAAGGTAGCGTGTCCTTTTGCTTTTGTCTCCTTAGTAGTGTATTTTCTTGGTAATGGATCTTTAAACATAGATGCCAGAGATGTGGATAGCCTTCTAAATAGGGGCTCGGGGTCCATTATCATTGGCCTTCTATCTTCTGTTCCAGTGAAGGTAGAGGTGTTCTTTCCTCTTTTCTCTTTCTGTGGTGGTTCAGGCATCTGGCTCACCAGGTGACGTGTCTTGGTCATTCCCCTCCTAGGTCAGGCTACAGCCAGAGTGTGGCATGGAGTGTAGTAAGCGTGGAACCCTCAGACCTTAGGAGAATTCTAGAAATTGTTTTGATAATTCACCAATTTAATATTAGTAAAGGGAAAATTTAGCACTGAAAAATTCAGGCTACAATTCTAGAAGAAAATAAGTAATAATCTTTCAGATTTACATGTAAGTGGGCATATTGATTCACCTTAGTTGCATACCATCAATAAGATACATTTATAGCAATGAACATTCTTTTTTTTTCATTGTAAAATAAAAATGAGAATGGCCAGTTTACCTAAAAGGAGACTCAGATTGCCATTCACTATTGAACTCTTTTTTTTTTTTAAGATTTATTTTTTAAGTAATCTCTACACCCAACATGGGGCTTGAACTCACAACCCCAAGATCAAGAGTCATGTGCTCTACTGACTGAGCCAGCCAGGCGCCACTGCCACTCACTTTTGAATGACGGCCTCCCTAAACTGGGTATATTGGTATAACTGAAACTTACTGTGTTTTGAAAATTTATACATGAAGAAATTATCTAGAATTTCTTCAGTAAGAATTATTTGTGCCTGTTTTCTCAAAGAAAACCCTGGTACGTGGTTTGTCACTAGTAGAAGAAAAATAAAATGACCAGTTTCTTTTATTTCTATTATTCTTTTATTGTCACTTTGGAACAGAATGAAGAAGCCTTGAAAAAATGTGCCCAGGATTACTTAGCCAGAGTTAAACAAGAGGAACAGCGTTACCAGGCTCTGAAGATCCACGCAGAAGAGAAACTAGACAAGTGAGAACTCGCGATAAATCTGTTTCACGGTTCATGGTGTGGTGGGAAGATTGGAAAAGGCCAGGAAAAACCCTCAGCCTTGTTTGGCAATTCCAGGTTGCACTGGGGGTCGTGTATCTGTGTGTCTGTGTGCACGTGCGCATACATTTTACTTAATTTTTTGAATAGGTAAAATCTTCACATGGTTCAAGCATTACAAAGAATAAAAAGATACACAGTATCTCTCTCCCATCCCAATGCCCTTCCTCCCCCGCCCTCCTCACCACAGGTAATTTGGTCATTAGTTCCTCCAGTCCTTGCAGGTCTACTTTTTCTCCTTCTCCCCCTCCCCCAGCTTTGTGGAGATAAAATTAACATAAATCATTGTGCAAGTTTAAGGTGTATGACCTGTTGATTTGCTCCAGTTCTATATCACACAACAGTAGCCTTAACTAACACCTCCAGCACACCATGTGATCACCGTTTTTTTACTGTGGTGAGACTCTCCCTTTGTTATACAGATGACAGCATACTTTGTTTTTTTCATTTAGTGGTGTATTTTGGAAATCTTCCCATAGCAATCCATGAAGAGCTTCCATTATTTTTCTTAACAGCCATATGGTGTTCCAGCGTTGAAATGTGTCATTTATTTAACCAAACCCGTCTCCTATGGGACACTCAGGTTATTTACCATCCACTACAAACAGGGCTGCAGTAAGGAACCTTGGATTATTATCATTTGGCGTGCATTTTGGTGAGCTCTCTGTATGCTGGAAAAGGAATTACTAGGCCAAAGAATATATGAATTTGTAATCATGATAAATGTTGTCAAATTGCCCTCATTCGACTTTCATCCCTGCATGAAGTATGAGAGCTTCTCTTCTCCCCACAGCTTGGCCAACAGACCAAATTTTTGGTTTTCTGCAAATCCAATAGATAAAGGTGGTATTTCAGTTTAGTTGGGGTTTTCTTTTTTTGATAAACAAATAGAGCATTTATTATATTCAGTGTAGTTTTGATTTTGTTTATCTTATGAGTAAAATTGAACTTATTTTAGCAACTGTCTATACACATATTCGCTTTACCGTGAATGATTCTATTCTTTGCCTGGTTTTCTATTGTCAGTTTATATATTATATATATAAATATATTACTGTATTTATGCACTAAGGATGCCGGCCCTTTGTGATATGAGTTGTGAATGATTTTTCTAATTTGTCTTTTGCCTTCTAGTGTTTTTTGACATACAGGAATTTATTTTTATGTAGCAAAATTTGTCAGTCATTTCTTTTACTCAGGATTTTCTGTCTTGGTGACAAAGATCTTCTTTGGGCTGAATATAAAATATTCTCCCATGTTTTCCTTCTAATACTTTTATGGCTTTATTTTTTTAACCCTTAAATCCAGCACATTTGGAATTTATCCTGAGGAACAGTCTGAAGAATGCTCCCAACTTTATTTTTTAACTAAAAAGTGATACCTACTTGTACATTTTGCTCTTTATCTTCATATTTGTAAAACATTTCAAGTTCCCCTCTCTCATTTTCACTCTCAGAGGTACTGCTATCAAAGGTTTATTGTGTGTCCTTCCAGTTTTTTCTTTGTGCCTTTACAAATACTACCCAAAATGGCTTTGGACTTTTTAGTTATAAAATACAGATTTCCTTTTTCACTTAATAGTGTTTCATGGCCATTTTCCATGTCAGAACATATAGTTCCATTTAGTTGTTTTTATTAGGTTGTAGGATTATTCCATTCCTTTATCGACGGGCATTTAGATAGTTTTATGCTTTTTTCTATTGTAAACAATTCTTCAGTGAACATACTGGTGCACACAATTGTGCAAAGTGGGAGTACTGCTGCGGATACATTACTTTAAGGGAATCGCTGGGTCAGAAGATGTATTCATTTTATTGTTTTTTTTTTAATTTTTTAAAAGATTTTATTTATTTATTTGAGAGAGAGGATGAGATAGAGAGAGAGCATGAGATGGGGGAGAGTCGAGGGAGAAGCAGACTCCCAGCTGAGCAGGGAGCCTGATGTGGGACTCGATCCCGGGACTCCAGGATCATGACCTGAGCCGAAGGCAGTCACTTAACCAACTGAGCCACCCAGGTGCCCAGATGTATTCATTTTAAATCATAATAGTTGCAACCATATCACCCTCCACAAAGCGCCAGTTTTCATTTCCCCCATCAGCTGGTGAGCCTGTTTCCTTGCATCTTGGCCATCATAGAAAAAGAGCATCCTGGTTAATATTTGTCAATCTGATAAATTTTAAAAGTTTATCGTTTAAATTTGCATGCCTCTGACTACTACTGAGTTCTTAGCTTCCTTTCATCAATTAACTGGCTATTTATCAATTGACATTTATAGTTTTTAAAATTTCTTTTGTAGGGGCGCCTGGGTGGCTCAGTTGGTTAAGCGACTGCCTTCGGCTCAGGTCACGATCCCAGGGTCCTGGGATGGAGCCCCGCATCGGGCTCCCTGCTCAGCGGGAAGCCTGCTTCTCCCTTTCCCACTCCTCCTGCTTGTGTTCCCTCTCTCTCTGTCTCTCTCTTTCTCTGTCAATTAAATAAATAAAAATCTTTAAAATAAATAAATAAATAAATAAAATTTCTGTTGTATCTCATTAATAAAGTCACTTTAAGTTCTAGTGTCATAGAGGTCAGTGGTTAGTGTCCTGTAACAATCCCACAGACCCTGCCTGCTATTGCCCTAGGTTAAAAAAAAAAAAAATCTAAGATTGCTGTAGAAACTGTCACATGATTCCATTTTCTAGTGACATAAATTTTGAACTCGCTGCGGCCTATGAGATTAATTCTGCCACTGGTTTTCACCTTGGAAATTTCCTTAGCAGTTGGGTATCAATTGAATATTTATAAATTTAAACTGAATGATTTAGGTCACTGATGTTTCCCTTATCATGCTGTCATTTCTTTTAATCTGTGTCTCACAGATGTCAGCGGTTAGTATCTTGACTCCTTAGCTATGACTGATGATTAACCAGGTGTTTCTTGTCCCTTTATTCTGCAAACAAAACACCACAAACAGAGCCAATGAAGAGATCGCTCAGGTTCGAACAAAAGCAAAGGCCGAGAGTGCAGCCCTCCATGCCGGACTCCGGAAGGAACAGATGAAGGTGGAGTCCCTGGAAAGAGCCCTTCAGCAGAAGGTACACAGAGGGGTGTGGTGTGACGACCGGAGAGACACTTGGTTTTCCTCCTTGGCAGTGGCTAACTTGTAGTGGATTTGGATGAAAGACATTCCTTGTCTTTTTTGCCCAGACACTTTGATCCAGCTCCTCTGGGAACTGATTCAGGTGGACACGAACAAGGCAGACCATTAATTCCCAAGCGTATGAGTAGGAAATATCCCCGGGCAGGATGCAGAGAGGAAATTGCATTAACTAAAATTTAGGGGACCAGACACTTCTTAGCTCTGAGGCTGCCTTTTTTCTTTCTTTTTGTTTTTTTATGTAATACATGACACCATCTTGCCCCTTCATTGCAACTTTACCCTCCTGGGGACATTGGCAACGTCTGGAGATACATTTACTTGTCACGACTGGCATCTCGTTGGTAGAGGCCAGAAATGCTACTAAACATCTAACAATGCACAGGACAGTCCCTACAACAAAGATTGACCCAGCTCAAAATGTCAGTGGTACCATGGTTGAGAAATTCTGTAGGGAGATAAAAATCAGGTCCCTATTTCTCACTGTTCAGTGATTCTTGGACTTCATTTTTTTGTGTGTGCCTCTGATGTTTTTCTTACTGTATCTCCAATTATGTACTCATGCCTCTGGCATCCCGTCACCTAGAGCAAGGGTTTCTATCATGGGGTCTGCTAACTCCTAGACAATGTTCCCTGGGATACTCATACTCCAGAATCCCAGGTCCCTGGAGGTGCTGATGGGCTGAGTGAGGTCCCAGATAACCTGTGTTTGTAACAAGTATTGCAGGTAATTCCTGCGATAACAAGAAAATTTGAGGACTAAGGTTCATGGACAAGCTGCAGAGGGCCAGTGGTTACCCTCATCCCCTACTCAACTGAAGCATGACTTGGGGAACACATGAACATTTTTCGGGGGAGAAGGGTCCCTTTCTTTAAAGGGTCTCCGATGTAGAAAAGTTAGGAACCACTCAGCCAGGATGTCAAGGCAGAGCGTAGTCAGCCTTGGGACTATTTAGTTGTCATTGCCTTGATCTCAGGATGCAAAGTGGCCTATATAACCATGTCATTTGTCTTTCAGAACCAAGAAATCGAGGAACTAACGAAAATCTGCGATGAGCTGATTGCAAAGCTGGGGAAGACTGACTGAGTTTTCCGCCATTAGCTCAGCAGATCTGCATTTGGCTGCTTTTCTCTTAACCACAGTTATCTTGCCTTATCCAGGAATAATTGTCCCTTTGCAGAGAAAAAAAAAAAAATCTTTAAAAAAGCACATGCCCACTGCTGCCTGTCCCGCTTTGCTGCTGACACAACAGCCCTGGAAGGAACCCGAGAGCATCGCACGGTCCTGGGAGGAGTGGCGTCCAAGCACTGTCCACCAATAGGTTTGGTCAGGCTGCTAAGTTTGGGGGTGTGATTTCTCTGTCTTTAGTTCATTTTTAAAAGTCATCTTTTCTTTTCCAAGCATGTTAAATTTGGAATTTTGTGGCTCCTCTTTGGGATCATCTTCTGTCCACCACCTGTCTGAATTTTTTGGTGACCTATTTACTTCGTCTTTTAAATTTAGCGTTCAACATTGGTAGTCTTATTTGAGGGAGGAAATAATTTGGCCTATTGTTACTTCTAGTTTGTAAACAAGAAGGGACTTTGAGTACCTGTTTCTACACACACATACACACACACATATATGCTTATATATATACGCTGCTGGTTTTTTCCTCTGAGGCAGAGTCAAATAAGAGCTTCTCCACACAAGAGCGTATTTCCATAAATGTAAAACCCTGTTTTGAAATAGAGTCGTGGCCCAGCATGCCAACCTCACACTTTGGGGAATTGAAGGTGCAAAGACCCCAGACTCAGGTTTTAGTCTGGGGAAGACTTTTTGCCACAGTGTGTCGTTGCCCTGGTATTTGGTTACTCCTCAGCCCTGACAAGTGCGGCCCCTTTGGGGTCAGTCTCCAGAGCATGAAGGGCAGCACTGGCTGGACTCCCTCCAAGCTGAGGTTTGGCAAGTCTGTCCCAGAGCCGTTCTGTCTCCTCTGCTTCTGTTTGTTGCTACAAAATCAGCATTGACCCTTCATCATCTATTTGAAATATGCAAAGAAAATCTACTTGTAAAAGGCTTAGGCAGTCTCATTGAGTTAAAAGGTAACTGTAGCCCTGCTAGCCATTGTAAGGAGAAGAAACAGTTGGTTTTTTACAAGTGTAATGCGTTGTTCTTTGGATTTTTTTTTTTTTAAGACAAAAAACCCTTTCAAAACTTAGAATGTGTAACAAAACGGGCTATAAAAATCATGTGAACCACTCCAAAAATCAGCACATTTTGAATATTGTTAAACAAAGAGCATTTGGATCCCAGAGGAGAGGAGTGCAGGGGGCAGAACAACACTCACAAAACCAAATTCCTGAAGCTCTTCCTGGACGTGGGTCAGAGTGATGGGGCCATTAACCCCAAGATGGAAATCTCTCCATGTAATGTCAGTGAACTCCCTTCCATTTGGTAGGCAGAACCAAATCCATGCAGTGTTTGAAAACACTCTTTTGTCTTAATCTTACACCCTGAAAGTCTTCATGGTGATATGCACTATATTCAGTACATGTAAGTTTTCGTACCTTTCCTGCAAAAACTCTTGCATGATCCAACTTCAGCAATGAATTGTGCCTAGTGGAGAACCTCTATAGATCTTTAAAAATGCATTTTTCTTTAGCAGTGTACTATTCACATGGGTGCGATCTTTAGCCCCAGGAAGGTCTATCTAATGTCTTTTAAAGCTAGAAGTCACGTCTTATCAATATGCATTTATCGTAATTGGTGCTTAGGCTGTATTTTAAAGCCTACTGTCTTAATATTTTGTACAAAAAAGAACAACAGAAATGATCTGTGGTTGGAGAAGTGACTTGACAATCATTTGGGCTTTGAGAGCAGTCACTGTGGTTCAGTGCGAGTACGATACTTGTAGCCACAGTGTCCGTGATGGACAAGTGTCTCCAGTTGGTGGAACGGATTTCTCTTGGTCCTCCACTACTAGGGAAATTAACTTTGCATTTTGCAGAAAGAAACATTGCTAAACCTTTTTGCCGCTGTGTTTTGGTCAGATATCCATGTTTATTTGTTTTATATTGATCTGTTTTAAGCATGAAAGGCTTATAGTGGTCTCCATTCTAAATCCGTAGTCCTCCATTTAGGCTTCTTATGTATATAAAAAAAAGTAGCGGTGTGTGAAAACCAAAGTGACGACAATCCTTCCCTAGCACGCTAGTGGAAGAGACCCCCCCCCCCAAAAGACCCCAGTGAATGAGGTTGCTGCACAAGGGCCACGAAAGGGCCCTGGTTACGCAACGTCCGCCGCTGGCTTCTCAGCCATGGCTGTTACAAGGGAATGTTCTTCCTCCTCACTTCATAGATGGATATTCTCCAACAAGAATAAAAATGTAGCTTGTTCAGCTGGCAAATCAAGAGAATATCCTGGGCAGAAAGAAGTATGTTTGTTTTTCTTGAAAAATAAGCAAAAGGAAAAAAAAAAACTTTCTCAAAATTCTAAAGAGTAAGAACATAGCCTAGAGTTTTGCTTCAAAGCATGTGAGGGCCATGACTTGTTAAGTCATGGCCCTCAAACAAGAGTGAGAAGAGAGGAGAAAGGAAGCTGCTGTCCCGGACAGGTTTGGGGGCATTAGGTAATCAGTCTTGTTGAGACTCTGAACCCAGAGCTATTTCTTAAGTTTTTGACTTTGCCAAAGTGTAGATAGATAGTCTTTATCTAAAAGTATTTTAATGGGAAGATTTAGCTAAGACAGACCAAACAGTTTGTCACTTGGTTGGCTGGTCAGTTATAGTCAGACCTCCTGAGATTTACTTTATTTGGAGAAGCTCCTGGAAGCCAGTGACCTGCCCAAACCTTTTGTTCTGTAAAACTGTTCTGGAAATATTGAGAAGCCCAGTTTTCTCACGTGGTTTCTAGCTTCTTCAGACCCAGCCCAAATTAGGAAGTATAGAAGCACATGATGGTGAGGAACTCTGACGATCTGGCAGCCTTCCAGAATGATATGGAATCTAAGGGGAGATATATGTTTCATTTTGGAGGCTAACTCAAGCTGAATTTTACCCTTCCTTCCTGTCCCACACTTTGTGCAACCCTCCCACAAATACTTAGATATTTATTAGACAGCCCTGAATTAGCACTGTTTATACACGGGGAGCATCAAGTGCCCCGAACGTTCCTGGGCTGACTAAGCAGCCAGAATGAAACACTGATTTTCAATCAAGGCAGGTAACAGAGGGCCCAGCGGTGGTTCTACAGCTCAGAATAGAGTTTTAAAGAGAGGGCATTGGTAAGTCTGGTGTGCTGTGGTCGGAGATGATTCAGCACACCCTTTTTTGGTGGGGCAGAAGCTTTAACACTCCCTGTTTATTTCCTTTGGTTCTTCACTACAGCCGGTAGCCGTCTCCCAAGTCATACACGATTGTCGTCCCTCTAGTCTGTGACTGTGCGAGCTTGCTCTCGGACGACGTGGGTTTCTTACTTTATCCTCTTGTCGGGAAGAGAGAAACTAAGTGTTGAAAGATTAAATGATTTAGGCAAAGGATTTTAAAGTAAAGATGTATATATTCTAAAGAATTTAAAAGATAACAGATTATTATTTGCTTATGAAAGAATAAAATATAGTCTGGGAATCCCAGAATGCCAAGCCAAAGGTCTAAGAAGTCATCTTCTTCAAAGATTTTAAAGAAGTAGCATTTTGAGGAGACTTCTGTCCAAAAAGGTTTGACTGGCCTCCAGATTCCAGTGGCTTTAGGAAAGCAACGTACCACTCAAACCTTGAGTCTCTCGCATAGTAAAGGTAAAGGAACTGATACACAAGACACTTCTCTCTAAGGGTCTCCTCTGGAAGATGATGTCAACAGCAGCATTTCCAGGGAAGACCCACGCCCTCGTGCCCAGAGCCAGCATTCTGGAGACTAAAGATTGCACTTTTCGTAGTTCTTTGTCCAAATGCAATCCCATTTCTGTGCCTCTTAGCATGCAGTTAGATTTGGACAAACAAGATTCCTAAGGAATGACTTTATTAACTATAATATGGTTACAGCTATTACATATATATATATTCTGGTTATAGTTCTAATATGGAGATGTTGCGTGGGACGCCGGCCTGTGGCAGTCCAAATAACGCTCCCAACTCATTTGGAGGCCAGGCCCAGAGCTGAGGGGTGGCTCGAACCTTCCCTGTATCCCTTCTTCACCGTAGAGCTGTGAAGGTGTCACTTTGTTCCCCCTCTGCCTTTCAGTGGTATCTGAAATATATACAAAGTACGTCCTAGTCACATTGCTAACGGATGCTCTGTGAATAATTTCCACATGGACGTGTACGGATTTGAACTCTGAAACTGCGCCCAGTCCAGATACGGGGCCGCCTGCAGATTACTGGCCACACGCGCAGCTTCCGAGCCGTCCTTGTCACCCAGGGGGACGGGATCCAGGCATTCCTTTTAAACCTCAGAGGTAGCAGTAAACCTTTCAGTGTTGCTGTTAGCAAGTGTGTGTTTGCCAGTAGATACCCATTTGTACTCACGTGCCAACAAGTAAACGTCAGCCACACATCTGCTTCCTCTGTGTCCCCACGGGCGCCCAGCCGCTTGTGAGGAGCCTCTCGTCTGGAGGAGCGAACGCCTCATCGACTACTGTTATCAGGATTGTGTTGTGTGGAATAATCATCTACATAAATTTTATATGCACACTACTTTCCCTTTTATATGTCAGGTAAATATTTGTAAAAGTTATACTCACACAAATGAAATTATTATAATGATTACTAATATATTTTTTCCATGTTTCATTGCCTGAATAAAAACTGTTTACCACTGTTAGATCTGGGCGTGGGAGTGTTTTGCCCCCTGGTTAGAAGTCATCTTATCCCCAAGTGTGAAAATTTATGACAGCCCTGCTTTTCAGAGCTCCATATTTCAGGCTAAAAATAGAACAGATGACATTTTCACAACACTCATTTTGTGAAATTTTATGCATTTGGTTGGGTGTGTAATTAAAACAAACAAACTTTGGAATTCAGACCTTGCCATATAAATTTCCATGCCTTCGCATCTGTGCAAACAAAGTTTTTAATTGCGTGCTTCTTGGTTTTGCTTAGAGACTGCGTGTCTGCTTTGGCATTTTGCAAGCCCTGAGAACCTAAGTCCCCTCAAGCTTTGGACTCATTGACAAACACAGGATAAGCCCGGACTGTGCAAACACTGCAAAGCAGCCCACAGCAAAGAGTTCACGTGTTTGTGCTTCTTCTAGGTTAATACCAGGAGAAACTTTCAGTACTGGCCCGGCCACCTCTGTGCTTAAGGGGAGAGGGGCCTGGGCAGGAGACTTCGTGAGTTTTACTGCAGGAAAAGATCAACTAGAAGGCTAGTTATGGGTCCACTCCACAGCTTGGTGGGGGACCGACCCACTGTGGAGTCCGAGCACTGTTGGCTGCATCATAAGACCCCTGCAGCCTATGACGTTCCTAAAAAACGTTTCTCTCTAGTATGCTCCTGAGCCGGCAGGAGGAGACCTGTGAAACGACAGAGGAGGTGGCACTGATTCTTGCTACATGCTCACAACGGTAGAAATCTCATCATTTTCCAAGCATTATTGCGAAGAAGAAGACAGAAAGTACCTTCCTACTCCTACAGTTGTATTCTTAGATACGATGAGACCAAAGGGGATTTTCACACGTTTGCAAATAGGGGATCGTTTTAGTGAGTGGCAAGCGGTATTTTCATAAGAGAAACCGTAACAGGAGGTAAGGTATCGCACAAGTTAAGGATGAGTAGTGTTTCACGAAATCTGTTGCAGATAGAAGTGTGTATGTACTAGGTCATGATGGAAAGTTAATTTCTTGCTATGGCTGGTGGTGGAAGTGTGAAAAAAAACCAATCTACCAACTTAAGTCCTTTTGCAACTATAGAAACTGAGGTCCGGAGAGAAATGTGGCCAAGACCGCATAGCTTGCATATTAGTGAACATTGTTGCCGTCCTTCAAAATGGGCAGCAAAATTGTCACTTCGTCCTTTGTCCTTTTCAAGCTCTTTAAATCCAAGCCCTCCCAGGTTTGGATAATATTGTAGGCATTTTCCAAGTTTGTAGGCACTTAAGGACCAGTCAAAACCAAATACCTTTCTCCTCATGCAATTATTCACTTACCAAATACTTCTGCATCTGCAGAATCTAAAGTGAAACGTGCGGAGTTTCTGAGGCTTAGTTAGCGAAAGAGAAATTGTTTTCAAGTTTCACTGAAACGTCACTGAAATATAAATGATAGCTAAATAAAACTTCTTTCCCAGCAGAAAGCCATTCCTAATCTAAAAGTCTTTGCCCAGTTGTGATTTATAGGTTATTTTATCTAAGTTATGTGCATGAGGGTGGAGACCCAGTGCTGCTTACAATTTAATCACGAGATAAATCTAACCACGCCCCCCCCCCACAGGACAAGATGGCGCGGGACCGTCAGTGCTGTGACAAGCCCTGAGTGCTGGCGGGGTCCTGGAGGAGGGACAGTGGAATAGGGAAAGACACACAAATCCAGCAGAGCACCAGGTCGTGCAGACCAGCACCCGGCTCAGACTGGCTTCAGATCCAGCGTCTCTGTTATTTCGCCGGCCTGAGCTTGTTTCCTAGCTAGGGATAATAGTTCCCACCTCATGAGGGGCTGGGGAGGGCTCCAGGGGAATGCATGCATCGTGCCTGTCCCTTAGGTCCTTATGGGATAGTGATTATCATCCCATGATATCACCTAAAACTTGGAGTTTATCCAAGTTTCAAATGGAGACTGACTCTTAGAGTCAAATGATTTTGCTGTTAGTTTTATTAGACATCTCAAAATAACAAAGCTTTGGAAACTGAAGAGTTACCTAACTTTGTCCTTTTATTTGAGATGAATAGGAGGTCAGAGTGTAGAGGATTAGTTGAAGACAGATCCCAAAGTCAGGGCGACTGAGCAATTAAATGGGGATGGATGTCCCTGTTTGTGTGCCACAGACCATTCCAAGTGCCCCCAGACCTGTACCAGCCGTGAGATCCTAGGTGTCTATGATCTTTTTTTTTTTTTTAAGATTTTACTTATTTATTTCACAGAGACATAGCGAGAGAGGGAACACAAGCAGAGGAACTGGTAGAGGGAGAAGCAGGCTTCCCACAGAGCAGGGAGCCCGATGTGGGGCTCGATCCCAGGACTCTGGGATCATGACCCGAGCCGAAGGCAGATGCTTAATGACTGAGCCACCCAGGCGCCCCAGGTGTCTATGATCTTGAGTTTTCCTTTGCCAGAATGTGTAGGTCTCCGTGGGAATATACATGCAGGAACAGACCAGATACAATTCAGTTAACAAAACTTGACTTTTAGCTAATTTAAAGGAAATTTGAGTCCTCTCTGTGCCAGGTGCCTTTACAAATAGGTCACGTGAACAATTCCATGTGGGTGGAATTTTTTTTAACCGATGCGGGAAAACGAGGTTAAAAAACACTGAACGTGAACGTGAGTCG